CATAGGTACTTACTCATCTGACGGAAATGGTAACTGTTTTGAATTGAAGAGCACTTGCCCTATCTCAGCCAGTAACTCCTGCTCATTACTAACCAGTTGCTGCCAGATCTTCTTTGGTTTTTTGGTTTTTGTTGGTTTGTTTTTAAGAGAAACCAAGAAACTGAAAATTGGATGTGGATCTTTTTTCTTTTTTCTTTTAAGACACTCATAGTCTAAACAAAACTTCAACATGGATCCAGACTTCAGGATGTGGGTGTGCCACCTCTACTTCCACAGCTTTTCCTCTATTCCTTTTTTTTTTTTTTAATGTTTTTTTTAATTCATTTCAGAGAGAGAACAAGCGAGGGGGAGAGAGATAAAAACATCAATAATGAGAGAGAATCACTGATTTGTTGCCTCCTGCTCACCCCTATTGGTGATCAAGCCCACAACTTGGAAATGTGCCCTGACCTGGATTCAAACCGTGACCTAGTTGTCAGTGTGTGTCATAGTGACCAGTCATTCTGCAGTTCGGTCAATTTGCATATTAGGGTTGTATTATATAGGATAAGAATCTTATCCCCAAAACAAAGACATAACATCTCAGTACAATAAAATGAAGCTATTTCCACATTTTTAAAAAGTTTTTAGTAAACTTTTTAATTGATTTCAGAGGAAGAGAGAGGGAGAGAAACATCACTGAAGAGAGAGAATCATGGATCTGCTGCCTCCCGCACACCCCACACTGGGGACCGAGCCCACAACCTGGGCATATGCCCTTAATTAGGAACAGAACCTGGGACCTTTCAGTCTGCAGGCCGACACTATCCACTGAGCCGAACCAGCTAGGGCTATCTCCCCATTTTTTACAATTAGCATTTACTTAAAGCTCCGGATTCTTGATATGGGCAGCACATCAGCACCCAGGTGCTTGTTCTCTTAGCAACCAAAATAGGACCATCATAAAAAGGAAAATACCTCACTCTTGGAAAATTCTTTAAGCTAGGCGAAATGTGAGCCTTCATAAAGAAAAGATTTTGAAGCAGTACCACACAAATTGTCGGAAATGTGTGAAGGCAATATGTTTAAAATTCCTTCACAGCATGTTAACAACCTAGAACTTAAATCATAACTAAATTTTCTTGACTCATTTAAATATTAAGGGAAAACACAGAAACCACCATTTGGAAAACCAGTAGTGCCAATTTTCTAATTCTGTTTTAAGTCTGAAGTTACAGTTGAAGTGCTTGCTACCACGTATTATAGCTTTACCTCCAGCTACTGGTTGTATTCTATTTGGAATACCACATTACTTTAACCACATGTGTCAAACACAAGGCCCGCGGATTTAGGCTGGATTTTAGATTTTGGCCCCTTCTCTGATTGAGTTCGACACCCCTAAGCCATACCTTTAACTGGGAAATAAATGTAGTGATCAGAGTCAGATGATACCATTCAAGAGTGTGAACTACATAGCCCAGAAGTATGAGTGTGGTCAGCTGAGAGATCGTGCTGTGTAACGAATCAGTTGGTGAACCATCAAGAAAAGATTGCTTGCTTAGCCCTGGCTGGTTTGGCTCAGTGGATGGAGTGTTGGCCTGCGGACTGAAGGGTCTTGGGTTCGATTCTGGTCAGGGGCACAAGCCTGGGTTGTGGGCTTGATCCCTGGTAGAGGGCATGCAGGAGGCAGCTGATCAATGATCCTTTCTCATCATTGATGTTTCTATATCTCTCCCTCTACCTTCCTCTCTGAAAACAATAAAAATAAAATATTATTTTAGAAAAGACAAGATTGCTTAGCTTTGCTCATTGCAACCAAATCATAAGTAAGGTCTCCAAAAGGTTAGGTGGAAAAGATGAGGATAATGGGCATGTGATAGAATGTCAGTATCCTGGGGGCTATTTTGGAGTGTCATCTTATTATGTCACTATGATAGATTAAAAGTGAATTCATCTTCAAGGGGAACTTAAAGAATTGAAATGATGATAGCATGCCAGATGGGTTAGTGGGAGGGTTCTCAAAGGATGTGAGAGTAGCATAACAAAATCAGGGAGGGAAGGAAAACTATTGAATAGAGACATATTAACTTTTTTTAAATGCCACTGTTCATAGGGAAATATAATGCCTATGTAAATTTCTAAAAGCCTCTATCTAAAACTAGTACTTTTAAAAAATTAGCAATTATAATTGCCAATTAGGGCCTTGGTTCTCTAAAAATAATGACCTCATGACAAAAACAAAGTCACATGGACATCATTGAAGTGTTTTTTTAAAGAAGTTACATAGTTAGGATGTCAATTACATTGGCCTTCAAAACTTTTATTAATAAGCAAGTTGTAGTGCAGTTTTTGTTGAACTGGTTTAGAAGTTCCTTATAACTCGGCTCTTCAAAAGTCTCAACTCAGTCCATTGTGATTAGATTCCGTCCCTATCAAAAACTACTGAGGAAACAAATTAGTGCTCAAAGCTGTTTATATTGTAAATGCAATGAGATTGTAGAGTCAGTTAGGAACCTCTAGAATCTCTGAAAAAAAGCAATTGTTTTTTCTCTTATATTAATTCAAACTGATGAGGTGGAAAAAAACCAAAATCACTTCAAGAGTTTATAAGATGGCATGTATATTGGATACAAATTAAATGTGCTACTTCCATTTTCTAGATTAAAAAGTAATTTGTTCAAGTATCTGAAGTAGTCAATGCATTATAAATTTTTAAATTTTTTGTGTCCTTTGCTACTGCATGGGATATTTTAAATTATGTTTATATAGCAGATATTTTCCAAATGAACTTTAAAACTCAGTCAGGTTTTACATTTTTAGTGAGCTGAAAGAAGAGGTACAGATCTGGGTGCACAAGCTGCAGTTTACATAAAGCAATCTTTTAAAATACTCAGTCTATGTAAATTTCTGTTGGAAGTACGTAATTGAATAGAAGTTCCTGATTGTGCTTGCTTGGCAGGTTGAATGATGCCCCAGGAATGGCATCTCTGTATCAGTGCCACTCTCAGTTCTTCAGACTAATGGCCCGTTAGACTAAATGTGGGAGCGAGTTTACTGGAAGATGTCTCTATTTACCTCTGAGCAGCCTGGCCTGGCAGCACTGCCCTCCTGATTCCCTGGCTGGGATGGGGGGGAAATCTCATTGCAGTAGACCTTGAATGATAATGGGCAATAAGTGTTGTTGTTGTTTTTTTATATGATTTTAATTTTCCTTTATCATTTAACTACTTTTTCTGGAGTCCTCACTGAATGCCAGGCACTGTGACATTGAGGATGCATGTAAAATAGAGACCCTTTAAAATAGTGACCCTATCTCACAGAACTTGCTACAGGAACTAAAGGCAGGTGAAGAGGCAATTGGAGAATCTAGTATTGAACTGATAGATGTATTGGTCAGAAAAGGTTTCTTAGAGGCAATGAGAACTAGACAGGAGATGATCCAGACAGTGTAACGGGAGTGGTAATGGAGTGAAGCAGGATTTGAATTGTATTGCTAGATTTTATGGGGCAGAGTCTGTTAAGGTGGGCAGCAGACCATCTCAGAAGGTAGGGGAAGAGGTGAGGAGCTGCCACGGAGGATGCCAGGTCTCTTCCTTAAGAGGCTGGTGATCCCAGGCTCAGGAAGAGGATCCGGGATTGGGGATTGGGTAGTGAGGAGGGAGGAAGAGGAGTTTATTAAGCGGGTGAGTTTGAGAAGCTCACAGAACATCTAAGTGGAAATGTGCATTGTGTCAGAACTCTTGCCATGACACTTTTCCCCCCCCCATGTCTCTTTTAGGGGCCTTTTCTCCTGAATTTCTGAAAGAATCTGAATTATTAGTCACATATACTATAGTATATATTTTCACAGTAAATTGAATAAGGTGGTTCTCTGATTTGCTGTTCATCTCAACAGATTACAATCTGGAATTTAAAAAAAAAAAAAAAAAAAGCCTTAACTTTTAAAAGCCCACATTATTTTTTATTTTTTATTTGTATGTTACATTGACCCGTTGTTAAAGCTCCAGGGTACATTGGGAAATTTATTGTTTCATATAATTTTTAATACAATTTCTGAAGTTTCTAGATAAATTTTTAAAATTTAACAGCAAAATTACTTTGGGTAGCCTAGTTTAAAACCTAGAACCCTTTTTATATTATAAAGTATAATACTTTTGTAATTAAAGTCTCCTTCAAGTCAATATAAGAAAAAATTCTTTAGCATATAAAAAGGGTTCTAGGTTCTAAACTAGGCTACCCAAAGTAATTTTGGGTAACTACATGGATTAGAGTTGTGCAATGGAATGAGAATGAGACTATTTACTGTTTGGCCAGGGGACTGGCTAGTCATCTTTTGGCAACAACACCTAACAGTTTATAGAGCTTGAGGAAGCTCTTTAATAAATTTTCTGAAGACAGAAAAGTAGGTGGTTTCAAGTTTTCTCTATCTATCTGCTGTGTATCCTGAGTTGTAAGAATTACAAATATCAGAATAGAGCTACCTGTAATGTAAAGGCCAAGAGTGTAAATATAAATTGCTTGTTCCTTATTACTATTTTTATTTTATATTTTATTGACTTTTTACAGAAAGGAAGGGAGAGGGATAGGGAACATCGATGCGAGAGAAACATCGATCAGGCGCCTCCTGCACACCCCCTACTGGGGATGTACCCGCAACCAAGGTACATGCCCTTGACCAGAATCGAACCTGGAACCCTTCAGTCCACAGACCTATCTATCCACTGAGCCAAACCGACAGGGCTCATTATTTTATTTATATTGTATACAATAACATACCCCGAGATAAATGTTAAAATTGAATCTTTTAAGTTCTTAAAAAGGTGTTGCTATTCATAGGAATTTAGCATTACTAAATATATAGTTAAATTGAAGCCGAATTATTAGACCATATTTTATGTTGTTGGAATTTTTCCTCTCATTTGCAAACTATCAGTGACTCAGTGTTTTCCTAAGATTTGTAATGCAATTTAGAAAATGAAATTTTCTCATCTTGTTGTTTTGTTTTGTTTTGTTTTTAATAGGAATTCCAAAATCTAATCTCTTGCACACCACATCATTAAGGGGCCATAAAGACTGCTTTGAAAAATACCATTTGATTGCAAACCAGGATTGTCCTCGATCTAAGCTTTCCAAAAATACTTATTATGAAGACGTTAAAGCCATCTTGAGTAAGAAGATAAACTGGATTATACAGTACGCACAAAATAAGGATGTGGATTCGGATCCGGAATGCTCTAAACGTCCTCAGCATCACCTGTTTAATTTCAGGCATAAGCCAGATAAAAAGCTACTCCCACTCCCACAGTTTGACTCCCAGGTACCAAAGTATTCTGCAAAGTGGCTAGATGGAAGCACGGGTGGCCTCTCAGACTGTACACAGAGAATATTGCAGCAGAGGGAAAACTCAGACTTCGGGCTCGCTGTGTTACAAGGGTCAGGTGCCACTTTGTGCCACAATAGTGTATTGTGGCCTCCTGCTCACAGCCAGGCACAGAAGAAAGAAGACAGCATCTCCAGTCCACAGGCTAGTGTCCAGACCCAGCATCCACGTTACAGCAGAGAGGAGTGTAAGTAAATGGGAGAAAGATGGAGGTTGGCATTTCATTGGGTGGGTTTTTGGTTTTTGTTTTTTTTACATATTTACATAAGGGATGTTTCAGGAATTTTTCGGTAGACTCATAGATTTGCTAAAGTATTTAAATGATAAGTTCACCCCATAAAAAAATTGAGGCGGGTTAAAACTCTCCATCAGCTCTCTGTGTGTCCTATGCATTAGAATTCTGCAGTACCATGATTTGTTTTGCCATTTAAATGATTAAATAAATGGAGTCAACAAACTGAATTAGAAGGTTCAGGCTTCATCTAGTTTAGAAATAAAGCCTCAACAGTTGGCTCCCTCACATTGTCACATTGCCAATCCCTGTGAGATTAATTGACTGGGAGTGGCATTTCAAAAGCGAAAATGTGACATTTTACTGAAGGCCAAAGGTAATGTGGTAAAGGGGGGGAAAGTGACTCATTCAGCCTGCGTCTACAGAAACTCACAGAAGCTAAGATAATTTTAGTTGACTTAAATCGAATTATTATAGAGCAAGAAGGGACCGTGGGTATATTTTTGTAAAACTTCTTGACTCTACATATCTAAGATCACATAACTAAATAGATAACTTCGTTTTTCAGACTGTTTCCAAAGTTTCTCACGGGATCATGAACTATGTAGTATTTCAGCAAAATTGACTTGACTGGCACTTTGTAAAAATTGAAACAAGATTGGATATATCAGGATCCAGTGGATCTAAGTGCTTTTCAGTGAAACTTTTGTTGCAGGAGGACGTACTGTGGGTTGAGGTTAGGATTCAAAAATTCTACTCTGCGGGGGTTAATGAGTGAATCCTAGAATACTGCTGAGCTTTATGTTGGCAGATAAGTACAATTTTTTATTATTTTTAAATACAGATTTTTAAAAAATAGGATATTGTGTTAGTGATGTAGGCAGCTTATTTTCCCAAATTGTTGTAATGATAATGAATATATTTTCATGTTTCAGTGAATTCGATGACTTCTGGTGAGGTAAAGCAACTGAATGCAAAGCTCCAACAGCGAATACAGGGTAAAGAATCAATGTCAGTGTTTTTTTTGCCTGTGAGAATTTTGATACAGAAAATCCCCTACCACAGGGTACCATAGCTCCATCTGCAATTAAATTAGAAAATTGGATTAGAACCTGTTAGAGTGGAAGTGAAAATGGAGACAACTTTCACCTCTACCTTCTTACTAATATTTTACTATGCAAGCGAACTCCATAACAGGTCTTTAAGGTATTATTAGCCCTGGCTTTGAACAGTTTCAAACACAAAAATATTAAGAACAGCATAGTGAACTCCTTGACCCATCTTCATCAGCTTCAACTATTAAAAAAAGCAGAGCTAAATTTTCTTTCATCTCTACTTTCACCCATTCCCATTACCCCACCCCCAGCATGGAGTATTTAAAAAATAAATAAATAAAGATTTAAAAAAAAAAAATATATATATATATATATACATATATATATATATATATATATACACACACACACACACACACACACACACACATTTGTTGTTGTTGTTATTACTCCTCACCTGAGGATATTTTCCTATTGATTTTTAGAAAGAATGGAAGGAAGGGGGAGAGACAGAGAAACATTGATGTGAGAGAGACATGTCGATTGGTTGCCTCCCACAGCAGCCCAGGGGATCAAGCCCGCAATTGAGGTACATGCCCTAGACCAGAATTGAGCCCGGGACCCTTCAGTCTGCGGGCCGACGACCTATCCACAGAGCCAAACCTGCTAGGGCAGCTAATGAATCTTCAACATCATGAAATACAGTGCTAACGCCAATAGTTTAATAGTTCGTGTTCAGAATCCCAGTTGTCTTCTCTTCTCTTGTTTTCATGACCTATTCCCATTTCGGTGAGTAAACTACATTTCAGAGACAGTTCAGTTGCTTACAGAAATCATGCATTCATTCAGTATCAGATTCTAAATCCTGTCTTTATAACCTCAAAGCTAAGTGGTATTTCTTGACCACACATTCTCTCAGAATAACCTATAATAATAAAAGGGTAATATGCTAATTAGGCTGGACGTCATTCTGGGTGTCCTTCCTGATGAAGCCGGGGCTGGAGGGAAGCCAGCCTGGGTCCCGGGTGCCTGCCAGTGGCCGGAGTGAGGCTGATGCCGGCAGCGTGGGAAGGAAGGCCTGCTCTTGCATGAATTTTCCTGCATTGGGCCTTTATTAAAATAATAATAGTAATAGCAGCTTACATTTGTCAAGTACTTATTCTGTGGTACTTGAAGAAGTTAGAGCCTTTTCTATTTCATTATTATTTCCAAGTATGACCTGTTGAATCCTTACAGTAACCCTATGAAGGTCCTACTCTCATCGAGTTGATACATAAGGGGAATGGAAACATAGCTTATAAGTTACTTGCCTGAGACTTTTGAGAACCAGGACTAAATATCCCAGGCAGTCTGATCCCAAAGCCTCTTAGAGGGGTTTCAGACCTAGGCATCAATGTGCACTTATTTCCCATAAGTCATGTCAGGTACTGACCGAACCTGTTTCTCTTTCAAATTGAGAAAGCGTCTCAGGTAATAGTGACTACGATTCCAGTTACGCATATAAATAGTCATTGTTATAACGCTTAGGTTTCACTTGATGGAGAAGAGGAATACTCTATTCCAGCTGACTGTGCAAAGTATGCAACACCCTAATGATCAAACTGCTTCCATTGTGTCGATTCACTTTTTTCCCTTCCTTTATCCTCACACAGGGTATGTCTATTGATTTTTAGAGGGGAAGAGAGAGAGAAACATCGATCGATTGCCTCCCACGTGCACCCCAACAGGCATTGAACCGCAACCTAGATGGGTGCCCTGACTGGGAATCGAACCCACAACCCTTGGTGTATGGAATGATGCTCCAAACAACTGAGCCACCCAGCCAGGGCCGTATCAAATCAGTTTAATTGCAAACACTCACCCAATGCATGTTAAAGTTGAAGCATAAATCAAAGCATTAGCTCTCTGTGTGCTAAAATGGAACTTCTTTTTAAATCCTTACAGAAGTGTTTGAAGAGTTAACACGCCAAGTGCAAGAAAAAGATTCTCTGGCCTCAGAGCTCCACGTCCGCCACGTTGCCATCGAACAGCTTCTCAAGAACTATTCCAAGTTGCCCTGTGTGCAAGTGGGGCGGACGGGCATCAGGTCCCACCTGACATGAGCAACGGAACTGAACTTACACTCACTTCCTGTGCCCTGCCACTTCCGGGTCTGGCAGGCTTGCAGTGTGGTCACTAAGTTTGTAGAACTTACAGGCAGTATTCAACATTTATGCGAGAGAAAGCAGATCCTCACACTCTAGTCTTCTAGGGTTCATCATTTTGGCTCATTTGGGGAATTTTTTCCCCCTTAATTACTGAGTGGCCCTCCCTAACTTTAACCACATGTGACTGTTTAAGTATACTGTTACAGTGTGATTTTATGAAACATAGTTTAATGTAATTCACCTCTCAAAACAGTAGAAGGTTAACAGACACCTTGGATTAGTCTGAACTACTAAAGATAACAATTTTAAGAGGGAAGTTAAATTCATAATATCACCTCGTATTTATTATGAGCAATATTTTAATATGAAAATTTTATATATAAAAATGCTATTTTAGGTACCTTTCCATTCTCTTTATAAATGTGTATTTGAATGGCTCTGTGTATTATATTTACACTTTCACGTGTGAATATCTTACCCATGTTTCAGATCTTACTGCATTTTATTCTCTTAATACACTGCTTTTACAACTATTACCTTGTTTTCCAAAGATAAATGTATTTTGGAGTAGAAATTTATCTAGTTGAATTGTTTAACTTCTAATAACTCTTATAAAGAGGAATTAATTCCTTTTTAAAGCAAATAGGCAAGAAAATAAAATATGTAATTTTTTCTAACAAAAGCAGATCTGAGCTTGTTCAGGAAGAAAATGCTAATCTAGCTTTTATATGTCAACAAGTCTGCATAGAAGTTAGAGTCTCTTCTCTTTCATTATTATTTTCATTCTACTGACTTTGATGTATTAGAATTTGGACAGAGTAAGTCAAGCCTTACTTGTAAGTCAAATAGATTATCTTCAAGTTGAATGTACTGTTAAATTATTGCCCTATCTTTGAAAAAAAGTTAGTTATTTTGTGTGCCACTTGGGATCATAGTTCAAGAATCCTTAAACTGTCCAAATTCTGTTTCACTGAAATTAGTGCCTAAAGAAAGCATTCTAGGGCATTTTTCTAAACTTTGGAATCTAAAGGGAAAGAGAAGATTGCTTGACCCAGGAAAACAAAACTCTAATTCAAAAAAAGAAGCCCCTTTTTTTTTTTTTTTTTTTTTTTTCATTTCGGAGAAACGGAAACATCAGTTTGTTTTTCCACTTATTTATGCATTCATTGGTTGATTCCTGGGGATCAAACCCAAAACCTTGGCGCATTTGGGTGATGCTCTAACCAATCGAGCTACCGGTCAGGGCTAAGAAGTTCGTTTTTTAAAAGGATTTTATATGTTGCCTATGTTTCCAAAGAGCTCTGAACTAATGGCTCAAACAGCTAGATAAGTTTTTCATTTATCATAGTAAAGGCCACAGCCAATGTAAAATTAAAATGGACTGTAAGTTCGTTTTCAGCTGGTGTTTAGAATGTGTTTATAAGGTGAGGTCCTTTGCTTGAAAGAATCTTCAGGGAAGCCCATAATTTGGTAGTGCCATGCATACAAAGATATAAATGACTTCTGCCTTAAATTTGGCAGCCTGCCCTGTCCTGACTTGGGTCAGATTTTAGTCGAACAGAAACGCTATTTGACTAAAGCAAAGGAACACCACAAACTAGTAGAAACAACTTTTTTTTATAATGCTAGAATGTTTTAAATTTGCCCAAGAGTATTACTTGATAATCTCATTCATTTTTGTTTTTGTTTTTTCTTTAAAGTATGTCATAACTGCTTTTTTGGAGGGAGCTTGGAAAAGATGTTTTCAGTTTCTCTCAATTCTTTGAGTTATCCAAAATGAATTGAAAACCCAGGAGTGGGGACACATTGCCTTAAGAGTTCGATAAGCTTTAAATTGAATATGTGCAATATCAAAATCTAGGAATTTATTTACAAATTAAATAGAACCTTTTCCGAATGATGCCAGTAGGTATCTCATTGTTGGTTGTTTTGGTCACATTTTCAAATTTGACTTGACTCTCTTTTGGCAGAATTCATTACGGTTGTTACCAGCCAGTGTGCTTGCACATATTTGTGTTTCTATTTAGATCACTTTGGGACAGCCATGAAAGTCTGGGATGTGTTGAGTTTGATGGTAGCTGCATATTTCTGGAATGGGAGCCATATGGTGCAGCCTTGAACACAACAGTGCTATCCAAAGAAAGTATGTGCTTGCTTCTTAAAGAATTTCTGGCAAATGTGCAGGTTTACTAATGAGTGAGGACAATTAGATGGGATGACGCACGTGCCAAGGTCTTAATTAGGGACTCCGATTTATCCCATTTAGATATTTCTACTTAAGATCTCCAAGGGAAAGGTGCTCTTTAAAAATGTCTGGTGCTGGTACACACACTAGTACTTTATTTGGATAAAATATTCTAGTAAAAAAAAATTGTTATTTTGCACAGCAGTTTTTCCAAATATTTGATAAACTTATTTTATATTCTAATGTTAGTTTTTTTTAGTTGAATATGAAATTCCTGTATATTTTAAAATAAGGCTAAGAGATACTAGCCTTGAGAGACTATGAAATACCACAAGTATTGGTTACCATACTAGGCTATTCTTCTGTACAGTCGGTGGGAAAATTTTACCTATGCTTTCAGTTTCAAAAATGGCAAAAGAGAGGCAAGTTATCTGTTATTAATTTTAGAGCTTATATGGTTAAGGGGAATGAATTACGACTGATTTTTTTTCATGTTACCCTATATAATAAAAGGCTAGTATGCAAATCGAGTGAACAGCGGAACAACTGTTCACTATGACGCACACTGATCACCAGGGGGCAGATGCTCAACGTAGAAGCCGCCTCCTGGTGGTCATTGCGCTCCCACAGGGAAGGGAAGAGCCACTCAGCCCAAAGCCGAGGCTCAAGGCTGATGAGCAGCAGCGGTGGCAGGAGCCTCTCTTGCCTCCACTGCAGACCCTTGGGGGATGTCTGACTGAGAGGGCGCAGGCCGGGCTGAGGGACCTCCCGACCCCCAGTGCACGAATGTTGTGCACTAACTAGGCCTCTAGCAGTTATATATTTTATTGATTTTTGTACAGAGAGGAAGGGAGAGAGATAGAGAGTTAGAAACATCAATGAGAGTCATAGATCAGCTGCCTCTTGCACACCCCCTACTGGGGATATGCCCGCAACCAAGGTACATGCCCTTGACTGGAATCGAACCTGGGGCCCTTCAGTCCCCAAGCCATTGCTCTATCCATTGAGCCAAACTGGTTCCGGCTAATTGAGTTTTTAAAAAACCAGTCTAAAGTCAAAGTGATTGTGACTATCTAAGATTGTTCTGATTAAAATTTTCAAATCTGTCCAGCCTTTTGTCATCCTTTGGTCTTATAATATCCCAATTTGTCTTATTAAATTTTTTTTAAGTCACACACTTAAGATCCCAGTATTAGGTGATGCAGTCAGCAGATTAATATTTTTTAGTTTCTTATGCATAATGTTGGAGCAAAGAAATGCGCTTATTTTTTCAAATTATATGCTCAATTCACCACAAAGTGCCCATTTATATATATATATATTTGAGGATTATTTTTAAAATAAGTTCATGTTGGAAAGTAGTTTCAGAGATACAGTCAATATATTCTATTTTGTTGGCATCTTGACATTTCCTCGGGTTTTTCATTTTACTATATTTACCACTGAAGATGGTTTAAAGTGCTTGCTTGCTTTGTTTGTGTATCTTTTACTTTGAAGTTTACCTTCAAGTCTGTTTTTGGTTCTATTTGTGTATGTTTGCCATTTTGGGTTTTATTTTGATTTTTTTAAAGAAATTTCCTTGCATTTTTGTAAAATGAAATACAAAATGTATGTGCTCTAAAGTTAAGTAGGAACTTTTAGAGGATAAATTATTTGTGTAGCTTAATAGGAGATTCAGGTTAGCAGCCAAAAAATTAGGTTACATGACATGAAAACTTTTTAAAGGGTATAGTGTAAAGTTTTTGTAGTGTTATTTTGCTGATTTGTGCCAGTAAGTTTACTGACAGATGTTATGGATTATGCTAAGGTAAGATGTTTGAGTATTTTCAAGTACTTAATAAGTTTAGTACTCTTAAAATTTTTCCTTAAATATATTCAGATGTGGCTGTAAAAAAAAAAAAAAAGGTAATTGATTTTATTTCAGTGTTTAATTGCATTTTTCACTTTAGGTTGGTAGAAATAGTTATTTGAGAAAATTAGTGGCAAAAAGCAGTGAGAGACAGAACTCAACAGGTTATTCTTGCCAAGTTCAGTCTTTTGGTGATGGAATGAGAGAGGGCTGACTTACCTGAATGTGGAGGTAATAGGGCTCTGGCACAAGTGCAGGTGTCTCAGAGGAGGGATAGAAAACTGTGGAATAACAAGGTTTTGTCTTGTGTCTCAGTATTTTCATTCCCTTCGTCCTTTCCTAATTGTCCTTGCTATAAAGTTGTCCAGTGTATTCAGCAATTTGGTCATGTTGCTGAGAACCAAGTCACAGCAAGTCTCCAGCATTAAGATTTCTTTTAGCATCTAGTTTGTAGCATACTTTTTCTATTCTTTTTCATTTATGAGAGTCCAGATGATGACTGCAGTTAGCGATACTGGAGTAAAATGAGTATTGTCCACTCTCATTCCCCCCAAAAAGTGTTAGTTGAACTTCCCTCGCCTACACACAAGGCAAAGGGAATTTTAGTAAATACGTGTTTCTTATTTCTTTCAAACATGTAGAATGCTTATTTCCATTCGACTATCTTGAAAAGAGGTCGTTTGGGAAATGTTTAGTGACAACTTCTGTTTTAAAGCTATTCTTACTTTGACAATATGTTGTATGTGTTAAACTTGCTTTAAGTCTGAGTAGCTTACACTATGGTCATTGAACTTCATCTCTGTGGTGTTAGACCTTTATTTCACAAAATTGTGCTAAGACATTTGGAAAAAGAAAATTCAGCTGCAATGGTGAAAACCAACTTGGTTTCAAAACAGTTGAGACAATACCGGGCTGTTACACTTTTCTGTTAAAACTGCAATAATTTACATTTTTGTATTGCTCTACTTTGGAACTGTAACTACTTATGCTTGTCTACCATTTTTTATTTTATAACAATAAAACAAATATTTTGTTATCAGTTTCAATGAATATTTTTATAAGAGCTTTTTTTTTTTTTTCCATAGGTGACTTATGTGGGAAAGGGGGATATTTTTTTGCAGGCTTAAGAATTCTACGCTTCGTTTCTTAATTTCTTATGAGAATCTTTTTTTTTTTTTTTGAGACTTAAATGAACATTTTCTCTGTCCCAAGAGTTCAGACACATGTAATAAATTCTTGTCACTGAGTGGATGTCTGTGTAACTTCTTTAATTGGATTGTACTTTACATAACAATAAGTACACATATTTTAAGCATGCTTGAGTTTTAACGAATGCATTACAACTGCATAACCCTCACCCGATTGTCCTTGCTATAAAGGAAATCCCTTTCCATCTCCTTATTCCCCAACCCCTTCCACGCACTGTTCTTTGTCACTGTAATTTGCATCTGCCTACTCCGGAACTTTACATAAATGCTATCATACAGTATGTGCTCATTCGCCTCTGGTTTTTTCACTCATTAGGATGTATTGAAATTCATAGTAATGCAAGCATCTGAAGTGTATTTCCCTTTTTAGCTGAATATATTATAATTTGTAACTGGACATTTGAGTTGTTTCCACTTTGGGGCTAATAGGAATGAAGCTGTTATGAATTTTTTTTAATTGGTTTTTAAAGGAATTTGTAAATGTAACAAAATATTCAAGGTCCCTTATGATTAGTATTATGAATCTGAATATTAAATCACCGTTTTTCCAGGAATGGTTTTTAAAGAAATAATTTTGTAGTACAGAAATTTAAAACTTGGAAACAAAGAGATTGTACAAAAGATCAGAGGCAGAATACAAAATAAGGCATGTTTGAGAACTGAAACACTTATTGAGGTGCTCAGAGCATCTTCACTGTCCTTCAAGTCTCTTCACAAGCTTTAACTGTCTGAGTCACACCGCTTTGTTTTCCAGAAGAGACAATGGTGGCCAAGGAACCACAAAAGGAAGTTGTTCTGTTTAGTTTTAAGTA